CTGTTACATGGGACTCATAACATAAATAGTGAAAAGTGGGTGTTACATTGTATAGTGGCATAATGTGCACCTCTGCCTACCCCTTCGGGTATAAAAGGCGTGATGTTATGTTATGTTAAACTCTTATTTTTGCCAAACAAAACAGCAATATCTATACAAAACTCTTTAAAAGGATTCAGTAAAAAGTTCGGAAGTAAACAAGCTTAACAGTTGCGGAACGATATTAAGTTATCAAGCGTTTAGTGCATGGTAAAAATATAAGGCATTTTGCAGACGAACAGACATTGATTCAAAGATGACAAGAGATAAATAAGTAAGGAGAAAAGTAAGGGAAGAATGCGGAAAGTATATATGACTAGCGGCCCGGTACGTGCTTCGCTACGTATAAAGTGAAATAAAATAAACAAATCGGAACATCAAATTCATTTATTTAATCAAAAAAATATTTTATTTAAAATCAAAATCAATTGCTAGCTATTTACAACACACTTAATCCAAAACATTTGGATAAACAATATTTTTTGTTTTTCCATTTTGAGCATAAATAAACAAACGGCTGGGGGTACCGACTCTGGAACAGGCAACATATAACTGGCCATGTGAAAAACAATGTTCCTCCAAATTCACACCACAAACGTGAAGTGTTTGACCTTGGGCCTTGTTGATGGACATCGCAAATGATAAACGCACAGGATATTGTAAACGTTTGAACTCAAAAGGCATATCAGTTGGAATCATAGGTATACGCGGTATCAAAACAACTTCTCCTTTTGATTTACCAGTTAAGATCGTAGCTTCAATCAAATTTGGCAATAACTTTTTCACTGCCAATCTGGTTCCGTTACACAGTTTTGGTGGATTAATATTTCGCAATAATATAATCGAAGAACCAACTTTCAGATTCAAGCAATGCGGTGGCATACCAGCCGGCTCCAATGAATTTAAAAATTCAATTGGATAATTCATTGCCTCATCTTGATTCATAACACTGTCAATTGATTTATATTTCGTGACTACGCCTGGCAGTTTCGCTTGAATTTGAAAATTAATTGCATTGACATGAATGTTTTTCGGTGCTAAAATGGCGCGTTCTGTCAACCAATCATGATTTCTGTAATTCTGAACAATATTCGGAAAAACACATTCAATCAATTCATCTATCGATTGCGCAATTGTACAAAAATTGTTCGGTACAGCGATCAATCCGTTGGTTCTGTCGATTTGTATTTTGCCGTCACCAATTTCTAACAATTGTTTTGAGAACTCATGGGCAGCTGGATCATTTTGTAGGTGAACACGCATATTAATGTTTAGTGTCAATTTTTGTAGATATCTCCAAAGAACTGATGACTTCAAGCAGGCATTTATTTCATCAGCAGGAGTTGATCGAGGAATGACAGGCAATGTTTGACGAAAATCCCCTGAAAGTAATATCAAAGCACCACCAAAAAGCTGTTGATTACCACGTAAATCTTGCATTGTTCGATTGAATGCTTCTAGTGATTTTTTATTCGCCATTGTACACTCATCCCATAAAATAATTGACGTTAATCGCAGAACTTTTGCCATAGCAGAATTTCTCGATATATTGCAAGTTGGAGTTTCAATCACCTGTACATTCAATGGCAATTTTAATGCAGAGTGTGCGGTCCGACCACCTTCTAATAATGTAGCAGCAATTCCCGAAGATGCAAGTGCTAGTGCAATTTTCTGATCTGATCGAATAGTCGCTAAAATCAATGATATAACGAACGTTTTACCTGTGCCACCAGGTGCATCCAAAAAATATAATCCACCTGCATTATTGGAAACGGCTTGCATGATTGTATCATATACATGTTTTTGCTGAATATTTAATTTGGTTATATTCGATTGTACAAATAAACGCAAATCATTACAGTTGAATTCCTGTCCGTATGCACATATGTTTTCGCTTAAAAATCGAAAAAAAAAATTAGAACAAAAAAAAAAACAAATTCCCAAGAAGCTGTCGCATATGATGCTATGTGAAATCATATACGGCAACTTAGAAAAGTACACATAAATTCAGGACTCACCGTTTGTATGAATGCACTGCAAATGCAATTATGTGAAAAGAAATTTATCGCTGATAATATGCTTTAATCAAACCACGTCCAAAATGAACTGACGGCATGAATGACATAACAACGTGCTTGTCCTGTCAACAAAACTTCAAAAAAGTTTCTGTGAAAAAAGTTTCTATTGAATTCATTTATTACAAAAAATGTGACAAATGAGGAACCGCTCGACCGATTTTGTGCAAACTTCACATAAACCATCTACTAAATATGCCGACCAAATCCTAAGCATTTGGTTTGGATAGGTGAGCCCGTTCTTGAGTTATGGAATTACAACGAAAAGTGGCATTGATTTTTATATATATAGATATGAATAATGTCGCTGTCTTGAGCGGTTCGTGTGCAAAGAGCCTACGGTCCTCCCTACTTAATATTCGTATCACGAAGAAAAATTATTTACCCACCAAGCTAGAACGATTTGTGATCCTTGCTCTTTACGTAATTGAGGCCGATGTTATTAAAGTTTATTTTATGTGGAAAACATGTTTTAGGCAAAGAATAGGGTACCGATTTTACGAGACGTTCTGTTGACATCCATTTTTATTGGTTATGTTTTTTTTTTGTGTGTTGAAGTTGGAAGGTCGACGTTGATGGATTATTTTTTGGTGTATAAGAACGTTACCATGCTCACAAAGGAGAGATACATTAGTATAAAGTTAATTAACACGATTAATAAATATACGTACAGATTTAATGCCAAATACTGTAAGTATACGACTACATTGTAGTGGGAGAGCCATGCTTCGGCACGAATGGGCCGGGTCGACCGGAGTGATACCACGGCCTTACAGAAAACCGACGTGAAGGAATGCTTGCGTTGTGTTTCGTCGTGTGAGTGAGGTTACCGGAGGCCCAATTACCTTCCCCTACCCCAATCTCCCCAATCCCTGAATCCCCCACGATCCTCAAACTCCTAATCCCCAAAAAGCTGGTGACGCACTTGTAATGCCTCTGGTGTTCCAGGTGTCCATGGGCGACGCCGATTGCTTACCATCAGGTGATCCGCCTGCTCGTTTACCGGCTTATGCAATAAAAAAAACATAATAACACTCATAAGCTACTTTCTTAAAAAGAACAAATACCTTTAATTTAAGCGTAAGAAGTTGTCGTATTTTTTTTAAATCGATCACTAGAAAACAGAAATACATAATCATAACAGTCACAAATATCGCATTACAAACCAACCCACGTTATAATAGAAATGACAAAGAGAAAATAAGCAGTTCGTTCTACAAGCTCCTGCAGTTTCTTAAACAAGATGCTGTATCCATTTTCCTTGATAATAAGATTTGAACCTATCCAGTCAGCTGCAAGGAAATATTTTACTTACAACAGAATACTAATGCACTTCTTATTTTGCTTTCAGATTGAAATTCCATTTTCTTTCGAATCATGACTTCGTTGTTTTAAAATAAGTAAAGTATAAGTCAAATGACAGTTGCCGGCGGCCTACTTTATAGAGAAGTTTGTTTTTGTGGATATTTGAAACGTTATTATTTAAAATTAGTATTTTTCTATGGTAATTAACTGTAGATAACTTTGACGGAGTGTTAGTACACGAAAAACGTCACAAAAATGTGAAATGTTCACAGCAATGTACTTCTCCGTCATATCAATCGTGTCACCTAGGTGTCACTACGTACATGCATGCTATAAAATTGTAAACAAAAAAAGTATTTTGCAAAGATATAAATGAAGAAAATTATAATGATAGAAAATTATAAATGACGGTTAAAAAGTACAAAATAGATCACATATCACCATTGCTATGTCGATTAAAATTACATTATTCAGTTTTTGTTTTTGACCTAATTAATTGCCGCCATATTTTTTCAGTGTTGCCAATTTATTTTTCAATATTCCCTTCTCATGAGTCTCATAAAGAGGGAAAAATTTACAAAAAATCTCACTTGCATCTTGCATATAAATTAAAAATTTTTTTTTTTTTTATGGCATTAACCGGTAAACGAGCAGACGGATCACCTGATGGTAAGCAATCGACGTCGCCCATGGATACCTGGAACACCAGAGGCGTTATTAGTGCGTTACCGGCCTTTTGGGGATTAGGAGTTTGAGGATCGTTGGGGATTCAGGGATTGAGGAGATTGGGGAAGGGGAGGGTAATTGGGCCTCCGGTAACCTCACTCACACGACGAAACACAACGCAAGCGTTGCTTCACGTCGGTTTTCTGTGAGGCCGTGGTATCACTCCGGTCGAGCTGGCCCATTCGTGCCGAAGCATAGCTCTCCCACACAAAAAATAAAATAATAATGCTATTATTTATTGAACTAACTTATCTAAGCTTTAATGTGCTATTTATTCGAACCGACTATGAAATGACTAAATCGATTTAGTTATATTTCTGATGGAAAGGGTGCAACTGCAACTTTCTGTTCCTATTGTATGGTGACGCTCTATCTAGAAATTATATAATCAAAGAGATAATAAGTATTATATTGTACATTTAGGTATTACAACAGAATTCGACTAATCCTGTCGTAAATTACGAACAAAAAAATTGTTATTATGGTATTCTATTAGATCAGTATTAAGTTACTTCGACTGATATTATAAAACAAAAATAAAACACAATTTTCATCGATGATCTACAATAAAAAGGACTTGATGCCACTTACAAACTTTTTACGTACGTACGTACTGGCTGACTATAATTTTACTGGCTGAAATGCGTTTGTATTTTTTATTTAAAAAAAAATTGCGCGTCGTCATTGTCATTCACTCGTTTTGGCGCCAAAGTTCTACACGGTCAATTGTAAATAATTTTACGTATAATATTATTTTTTTTTGTTTAGAAGTATTTTCTTGATAAAAAAATGCCAATATTTGTATTTATAACCAAAAACTAAAAATGTAACTAATTTCCATTAATTTGTCCACAGACGACGCTATGCAGCGACAAGACGTGTCTTGGCAGTATAATGGGCATCCCTGGCCGCGGGGATGTGCCAAGAGAACCCGAGGAAGTTCTCTTCGATGCCAAGGATTTTCTTGGACAGTACTTCGCATCTATACGCAGGTAAAATACACCGTTTTTGTAATGTGATACTTAATCAATTTAATATATTAATTTGAGTGTGTGCACTGAGTTAACTGAAGTGTGAAGTTTCGGTTTCAGTTCTCGGGCTGAGTAAACTATTTTCAGACTATTCGATTTTGGAATTCTTAGTACCTAATAGTCTTAAGCAAAATGTCTGAACGTTAAGCTATAAATAAAATATCAATTCTTTTGGAGTTCCGCGAGTCTCTAAAAGCTCGAATAAACTATTGGAAATCGGTTTAAAAATTATTTTTTAGTTGTGAAGTATGTGAAACACAGGCTTATTGCGTTCTTAAATACGAAAACTGACGAAGCATTAATATTTGTATAACATTTGCATTGAGTAGGTAGGTACTTATACACATTTGTAATAAATCTAAAACAAAATAAACAAAACAAAGAAAAGAAAAGCAAAACGAATTCCAACGGACTAATAGCCCAACAAAACAGTCATCGAAATTAACACCATTAATTTCCACAAACAAAAATATCATAAGTACCTACGTAATCTTAAAAAATAACTTTTGTCCCACACGAATATTACGCTAATAAAACGCCGAGAGTACAAAACCATTCATAAGGACTTGTTTTGACACTTAACAATCTTTATTTCTTTCTGCGCCTTGAGTGGGAGAAAATTCCATAATTTTTCAAACGTTGACACTAGACGAGAAAGTGACTTAGAGAATTCCCTTTGTTTGAATAAGATTCTTGCTCTTAAGAACGTGCAATTTCTGCAAATTTAATGAACGCATTCTTGAATTACATTTCGCTTGAGAGAAACCGAATTTTCTTAGAGCACAAAAGAGTAGAAACTGCTAGTTTAAATTTCCTTTGTCGACTAATAGACTTGGAATATTTCTAGCCAGTTATTTTAGAAGACCTTGATAAACTTGAATTATTATTTGCAATAAATTCTTCGAAGGGATTCGGGTATTACTTAAGACTTTATTCGCCCCATAAAATTTATGTACAGAAAGTCGAGATTCAGATGTTTGGGCTACACTCTATTATCCCGTTTCGTACCAATTTGAATTGTTTTAGGTCAAATATGAAATTCAGTTAAGTAAGTAGATGCCTCAGCTTATGTTTATGTCTTTTTAATTACCGTTTTCAATACCAAGGAACAGCATTATGATTTACGTAATAGATTTTATAATTAACATGCATGAAGTTCGTTTTCATTCTTAATAGAGAAAACTAACTTCGTTAATCACTTTACTGGACATGAGTAAGGTCTCTTTTCTGTGTTATATACTATGTTTTTTGTAATTTGTTACGCTCTAGTCTCAAAACATATGTAATGACCTTTAAGTCTACATTTAAACAATTAAACAATGACATGTAATGTTTCCTAGATTGTGAAATAGCTTAACAGAGTATGTATGTTCATTATTTTTATTCCACAGAGCTAACACCCCAGCTCACGAGGCTCGCTGGAAGGCAGTGCAAGAAGAGGTGGCGAAGACTGGAACATATCAACTGACGACTACTGAGCTGGTGTTTGGCGCCAAACTAGCTTGGAGGAATGCTACTCGATGCATTGGTAGAATCCAGTGGTCTAAATTACAGGTATGCTAAGTCATTTCATTTTGTACGTGCGTAGTGTGTAGCATTTTGTGTGTGTGTAGCATGTGTGTAAATTGTTTATCCTGATTGAACATTTCTATATGCACTGTAGTTAAAGTGCAGTAAAAAATATTCAACATCAAGAGACTACCTATTGGTAGGCACAAACACACTTATTTGTTATTATCACGTGGGATGTTTTATTACTATCACAACATGGCCATATTTATTTGAACAATCAATTTAGAATTGTAGAATTAAAAAGTTACGTAGATTTTGATAACATAAATAGGAATAGGGATTCTTGTTTCAATTTATCCCAGGTCGCAATAAATAAAATGTTACCGTTAACTGTTGTTTGAACATTTCACTTCGTTATTTGTTCGGAGAGAAAAACTGTAATGAACTGTCGCTGACTAGCCATTTCTAGACAAGTGAATTTCTTTTACGGAAGCAAATTACTTAATGAGGATATGAAATAAGTTTTTAGTGAAGTTTAGTGTTTCTGTTACTTGTAGTTAAAACATTTTTGGTTTGTTTTTTTTTTTTTTGTAAAAGTTGAGGCTTCGTTGTTGGTAGAACAAGTCTTAATGAAATAAACAATTGCGTACTTGCCAACTAGTCAAATCGAATCCTTTTTTAGAACTGTCAAAAACGACAGTTTTCTATGAACCTTGTACGAGATTGTGTATAGTGACGACCCTTTTTTTAGCGTTAAACAATATACTAATTTCTTAAAAAAATGCTGGAAACATACCTACTAAAATGAAGTTAGTCATAAAATCAATTAATGAAAGTGTGATTATTTTTTATTATTTTATTGTATTGAAATCGCAATAATTTATTTTTGATGAAGGCAAGTAATTGCGAAAATATACAGGAAAATTTATCCTAATTATTACATTTTTGGCGGTCCATAGTCTCTGTCTACCTCCATGGAAGAGTGAGGATATGGATCATGCATGTACCTATATGTGTATTACGTTAATTTTACTTCGCTTAGATGATGTTTTGACCAGATTTCTCTAGTCGAAAAACTCTTATAAGTTAATTTTAATTGACTTATTAAAGTATTCGAACAAAAATGTTTCGAATCAGCTAAAATAATAAAACTAACATTGTTCTCTAAAAGTCTCATTTTTATTCTCAAAGAACAAAACCAGCTACTAGATTAAATTACGCAGCTTCTTCTCGAATCGTCTTTAGTGAACTGCAAGAAAAACTGGACCTAAATGAATTTGCTGACTCTAATGAGAAAACTCCCATTTTGCACCGTAATAGAAAAAAAAAGTGTAGGCAATTAACGACTAGTTTCCTGTGAGGCTTTCTCCAAGTTCTAGCGAAAGGTCTTAAGTGCCAATGTCTCTTCTAATATAAGATTGCTTAATAAATTATAAAAATGAATATTTCATAGACATTTTGAAACAAAATTCACGTCATTCTAGAAGATTGTTAATTAAGACATCAATACAATTGCAGACGTTAACGCTTAGTGTTATTGACTAGACAATTTAAATAAAAAATCAATTATGAATTAGATTATACTAAACTAAAATTAAGAAAATTAATAAGCTTGCAGCAAAAACTCATTAGAAAATTCATAAAAAAGACTTCTATTATCACATAGTCTCAGACATTTACGTATAATGCGTACAGAGCGCTAAGAAAGAGTACAATTAGTCGTCTGCTTGTTTCAACTAAGAATGTAATGATGATAATTGTTCCAAGCCTCCTCAGAACACAAGCCAGTAATGTAGCGTCTTCATTTGTTTGAGAAATTAGTTACAAGACTTACTTTATTTTATAATTTAAATATTTTAAATATAATTTAGTTTAACTCGTCGAGTACCGGTTTTGTAGACACAATTATAGAACAATAGGTTGCGGTCACCGGTGACCCCTTGGTGTTTGACAGTTTAAAAAATATTTTCTAGAAAATCTTAGTAAACTCTGAATGGGTCAATAAAAATGCTGACATAATGGGTATTAGCTTATTCACCAAACAAAACATTGACAGAAATAAAACGAAATATATTTTTGTCTCACCGAAAAAACGGTGTAAGCTCTCAATATTTTTGTAATTAGAACCGCTAGCAGACGTCGCCATCGCGTCGTAACGACTTTAATTCATTCGTTCATTTCCATTCACTCTCTGTCGGTTAACGAAGGATGAGGGTGACTTAAATCGGCATTACCAGACCCGACTGCTAAATCCCTGTGATGTTAGCAAGTACGTTTTGTAATTACGCGGCTTAAACAGATTGCTTCGGTTAATCGGGACGAACGATTTGATTATAGACTCGCGGTCTTGAGGGACTATTCTGAAAATAGTCACTTTGTTAGTTTTTTTTCTGGGTTAGATTCGTGATTTTAATGTGGTGTTTGTTTCAGAATTGCTTCTAAATTATTTTTGTTCAATTAGTTAACATGGTGATAAAAATAATCATAATATGGTTCACAAAATTATACGAACGTATGTCATGCTTTTCTGATTCAATGCACTAAGGATTATCTCAAAAATATTTAAAAGACGAAAACAACGATTCATTGTTTGTTGTCAAAACAAGTGTTATCCTATCCGGGACCGCGTTTTAATGTATTTAATGATATCAGCATTTTTTGCATGATAGACTAATGGGTTAAAGTTTGTAAACTTGACAGAATTCAGTGATGCGCAAAATCTATTTTTAATCTATCAATACGTTGCGATCCGGAGTGTATAATCACCGATTAATCATCGCGTTGACAGTTTTAAAAATTGACGAAGATTTTATTTAATTTATGTAAAGTATCTTTACATTAAATTGAGATAGAATGTCGAATGTATTAGGTAGGTACTTGGGAAATGGATTCTCACAATTTAATTTGTCCTAATTTATTTGGATGAGGACGTAAACGATTACGGGTGAGGATTACCTAATGTCATTTTGGCACCTTAAGGCTTGTTGGTATCATTTTTAACATTCATTATTTTTGCTTTACTTACAAATTAAATTAAAACACTGAACTGGAAATACTAGATTTTTTTAAATCTAGTGTTTATAAGATTCTAAGCATAAGCAGACAATTTTAAAGTCCTTTTACCGTCATCTTAATATCCTTAGGTATTTCACATCGATCGATTACCTTTCTTACTAGAAGACAACAATTCAAATTGCAAGATACTGTGGTTTCAGATCGGATAGTATACGGGACCTCGTCCTTACGATACGAGCATTATTGGAATACTTCACGTGGCTACAGGCTAGAGATTAGGGTATTTTGGTTAGAGCAAAAGGCCAATGCGATTTTCGATTTTCAAATTCCAAGTACTAGGTTTCGTGTGAATTTGTGGTATATTATATCTTATGATAATATTATAAAGGTAAATATGTAAACATTGGCTTTTCTCCTTGTAAAGAGAAAAGAGAGAATAATCATGACTTGACATTATAACATCAGCTATCTTGTTAGAATGATTCAATTTATTCCTCGGATAATTCTCATCTTTGTGTATCTTTTACTATAGAGATTGATCATAACATTTCTTGGAGTTAAGATTTAAAATATAGTTTTCTAAATACCAAATTTCTGTTTTAATTGTTTTTCACAATAAATACTTACAAATATTACGGAATAGCCCCCCGCCACGGCGTATCGCGAGCTCTCGTTAGCACTCGACCTGCTAATGCGACAGTGAGCGATGCGACGATTGCCTACCACTTTGCTTTACGTTTATCTATCTGATTCGACACCCGATGAGATTTTAACGAATTCCCTCAAAGCTTGACGAATTAAGAAAAGAATTTTCTTGAATGAATTTGAAATTTGGGCTGTCGATTAAATTGTACGGATTGAGTGCTTAGCCATTCTCGATACGTCTCAATAAATCTATTTAACGACGGATTATTCCAGATAGAAATTGTGACGACCAACATTTCTACTTTTAGTTACCTAATGTATTCAATAACAAACTATCCAAGATATCTTATTAATTTGATCACGATTTGTGTTTGTGATGTGTGTTAAAATCTTTGTAATAAATGTATAGTGGTCTGATATTATTCCCAGCCTCTCAAGCTTTTATTGCCTGCTAAAATGTCAAAGAAACTTTTAGATTAAATTACTAGAAAGGTATCATGTGTTTTTCCACAGTAATATCCGCACAACTACAATGTTTTTAGACTAAGGATTTAACTTACACAGAAAAAATATTGACACTAAATCTAGGATTTCAAAGCAATGCCAGTAAACAAAAGTGGTCTTACAAGTCGATTTAATAAAACTAATATTACATAGAGAAAGGAAAAAAATAAGTTAGAACTACGTTTTGTTCGCTCAAAATACTGAATTACATTCCAGTGTTCGGTGAACTGTCACAAAAGCTGGCTTTTGTCAATGTACAGTCGTACAAATCCATTTGTCACCAATTAAATAGAATAGAATAGAATATATAAGAATATAACTTTATTGTACACCATTAATAATATAGTATCTACATACAGAAAAGGAAATTACAAATATAAATAAGAATAAAAAAGGATAAAATTATAAAAAGAATTTCTCTTTATCAGCGTTTTAGGAAAGTTCCGATTACACCTGTATATTTGCGTAGATAATTATGTATACGTAACTACGTATATAAATACCTACACTGAAGTTAATAAATCTGTCGATTTTTTTAACAAATTATTCTATAGGTACAACTTATGATAAACTGGTGACATTGTTTCCCAAAATGTGTTTATAGCCATCGAAATCATTTACCAAAACAATATTATTATTGTAGCAGTTTAAATAAAATATTAATCCTGTACACCAAACATTATTTTGTGCGATAGTACCTAAAGTATTAATCGTGTGTGTGCAACAGGTATTCGATTGTCGGCAAGTGACAACTACGAGCGGTATGTTCGAAGCGATATGCAATCACATCAAGTATAGCACCAACAAAGGAAATATTAGGTGAGGATTTTTATTGCATAACTCTCTCTATTATACTATTCAAAATGAATTGTTTGTTCATTTCATCAATCCTTTTTTTGTGTTTTATTGTATTGGTAGTGTTGGTATTCAGTTAGAAATATTTCGCTGTTTGTCTTTATTTCTTTTTTAATTGATTGTAAAACTCGAAGTGTAGGTAGAATATTTAGTAGTCTAAAATATTGATTGCTTTTTATGGGATAAACCGGTAAATGAGCGGATCACTTGATGGTAAGCATGGACGCTCGGCACACCAGAGGCGTTACAAGTGCGTTACTGGCCTTTTGGGGATTAGGAACTTGAGGATTGTTGGGGATTCAGGGATTGGGAAGATTGGGGAGGGGTAATTGGGCCTCCAAAAATTAATGTATTTAAACAAGTGATTATTTAAAAAGGCAACGAATTAGTAAACGTTTTTTGACTTGCTAAATAACACACTTATACTTTTGTGTAAATTTTTGAGATATTTTACTAAATTTATGTTTACAAAACAGGTCGGCGATAACAGTGTTCCCTCAGCGTACAGATGGAAAGCATGACTACAGGATATGGAACAGCCAGCTCATCAGCTACGCTGGGTACAAGCATCCAGATGGCTCCATACTTGGAGATCCTATGCATGTTGAATTTACTGAGGTAATAAACAGATTTTTATTATATTATTGACAATTTTCGTACAGGGAATTGAAGTGAAACTGGTCACGGAGATTCAATTTGTCAGAAAAATGGTTTTATAAGTGATATATAATTATACAATTTCAATGCGTTGACTGAAACTAAACCGAAAAAAAAACATCCAATCAAAATCTTGGAAGATCAAGTTTCACTATATAAATATTTACAATTTTTCTATATTGAATGGGCTGAAGTTTGACCTCTATCTCGCTCTTATGCGGTCTGAGTACTTAAATATACCTGAGTTTAGTTGCCAGTAGTTAAATTAAATATATATCTAACTAATAAAGTTTCAGAAACAAAAACCCATTTATTTTAACAGCTGAATGAATTGAAATTGTTATTTCTCTTCACAATAAAATTTTACACTAGATCGTATCACAGGATTGATGGTCATTGAAAAATATTCAGTTATTGCACCCACTACAAATAAATCATTCGGTAGCTGACATATCTCGTTTTGGAGCACCTGCTACAAACACTGCTAAAATAGGGATGACGACGACTCAATTGTTTATACTAGAATATTTCGAACTTCGACGATGTATCGATTTAAAATAACGTGTGACGTCACCTCTAGTACGATCTAAGGAATGACGTAGATAGTTCTCCGCCTTTAGGATTTCGGAGTGTTACTGAGTTTATAAAAAAAATCTCAGTAGTAGCACGGAGTCTGGAATTGTGTCCGGTATATGGCAATAGGCTCACCCTCTCTTACATAACACAAATAGTGAAAAGTGAGTGTTACATTGCACAGTGGCATTAAGTGCCGTGTCATGTACACCTCTGCCTACCCCTTCGGTGATAAAAGGCGTGATTTTGTGTTGTGTGTATTTTCTTATAAGAGTAAATAAAAATATACTAACGTGTCTAATATTATTCAAATTTATAAGAGACAGACTAAATAGATTTTTAATTTTCATACCATGTCGTCATCCCTATTTCGACTAGGTATGTATAACTAGACTAGAGTTAGTTCATTGTTTACACGACTATTGTTTAGCGTCGAGTTTAGTTAGGCCCAGTTTATTTTAGAATGACTGATTACGTGAATGAAATAGTCTTGCATAATTTTCTATTTGTTTAGGAAATCACAATTGTATTGCTTATTTGGGTCATGTAATTCGCTTTGTTATGTCACAGACGTCTTTTGTGAGCTAATGTAGTTAATATACGACGATTCTAAAGACTTGGTTCTTGAAGTTTTTTCTAGCACTTGATGTATCTAATTCCCTAAGGGTCTAGTCTTTAAGATGCTGCAAAAAGAATCTAATGTAGAGTTAATCCCTGAAGAGAATTCTAAAGTTTTTGCTAATATCCTATTAGAGATTCTGGTCCTTGGAGTATTATAAATCTTAGGAATCTCATTTTTACGGACTTTAAAAAGAACCTTAGGTATTTTTATAGAAAGATTTTTAAGTGTAGGAGAGCCATGCTTCAGCACGAATAGGCTTGCTCGATCGGAGTGATACCACGGCCTCACAGAAAACTGACGTGAAGCAACGCTTCCTTTGTGTTTCATCGTGTGAGTGAGGTTACCGGAGAACCAATTTCCCCCTACCCAATGGCCCCAATCCCCGAATCCTCAAATACTTAATCTCCAAAATCCAGGTGATCCGTCTGCTCGTTTACCGGTTTATACCATTAAAAAGGTGCATCATGTTAATAAATCGCTCTTTGTACACAATCCGGTCATCGACACAAAACAATTGTACCAATAAAACGTGCAATTCTCTATCACTTTATTTCTAATTGACCCAATAAAAGGCAATGTTCATCAATCACAATACTGGACCCTTTTAATTAAGTGTTTTCGTACACATGCGACCTAAGTTGATACGATAAATATTGTTGCAGCTTTGTATCAAGATGGGTTGGAAGCCTCCTCGTACGGCGTGGGACATTTTGCCCCTTGTCTTGTCCGCTAATGGAAAGGACCCCGACTTCTTTGACATCCCAAGGGAGCTCGTCTTGGAGATCCGTATGACCCACCCCACGTAAGTTGGACGATTAGTGTTTTATAGTTCTGCTTTTCTTTTTTCTTGGGAATTGTTATTGTTTTAACGTTGATGATGTTTTAGTCGTTTTTAGTTTTTTTTTAGGGAAAATGTAAACTGTATCGATTAGATTCATATCAAATGAAATAGTCCTGTTATCGATATAGAAAGCTTTCTGTGCGTCATACAAAAACCAATTTTAATTATAAAAATGTATGATTATTTTATAGTGACATATATGTCTTAGGAAATTTATTCATCCTGCATCGGTATTTAGTTTTAGTCGGCACGCGCATGATAAAACAGACATTTTTTTTTAAATGTTGCCCTACACTACGATTTTCTCCTGTACCGTGGGTGCGTTTACAAACATACAATTTTACATACAAATGACACGCAGACTCGGAATAACAATCTGTGGATCACACAAAGAGTTGTTCCGTGCGGGAATCAAACCCAGCCACCGCGCCAACCATGCAGTACAGTATTAGTTAGATATTGAATTCGCAGAAGTTTGTTTTGAAATGGTTACTTAAGATAATAAACGTGTTAAACATTTAGACAAACGAATGACGATGAACACGCGACGTTTCTGCGAAACAAGTGCATTATGACGCAGGAAATATGGCACAATGTTGCAAATCAAGTAATTTATTGACCAGGATATCACAATGTTTTGATCAATTGGATAAAGTTCGAAGAAATATTCAGTAGTTTACCGTTGGGTAGTCAGATTCAAAACTTTTATTGAAAGGTCAAAAAATAATTTCCTGTAAATTTTGTATGAAATACTAACTTAACCCATTCACTGTTCCAATTTGAGAACAGCAAAATTTAGGGTAAACGTTATATCAGTAGTATAAATATATAAATAAATAAAAACATTTCAACACAATCCTTTTTTCCTTTTGACCATTAATAGATTAATGACGTCATAATGGTTTTTCTTGAAATGGTATACTTTTTTTAGAAAACATAGCTAGGAATAACAGGAAAATTAAGTATAAAAATGTAATAAATTTATAAATGGTAAAATTACTTCTAGTATTAATATGCAACATCCTTTTCTGATTTTATGACATATTTTCATATTGGACTTGTCAGTAATAATTACAAAGATAATTATTATCTTCAGATAACAAAATATGAAGGCTTTGAGTGCCAATAAACAACTGTTAAAGGCAAATTCTCAGTCGGTCACCTAGCTTCACTGACGGACTGACTGACAGACTATTACTTATTTTGCATTTGTTGACATTTCAAAAGTACCAAATTATGGTTTAACCCTTTGAGTACCGTCATTATAGACACAATTAAAGAACATTAAGTTGCGGTCACCGGTGTCCTCGCGGTGTTTGACAGTTTAATTGAAATAAATGCTTTGACATTGACTTTGACACCGGTGATCCCCATGGCGTTTAACGTGTTATAAATAATCTCATTTTGAAAATTAAATAACATGATTACGCTTTCAGTATTTTTAAAACTAACCTGTAATTAAGTATATCCATAACATTTTAATTTTTACTTTCGTTTTTCGATCCAGCTCCTTTCTATATTATATATTTTGTTTTCAAAAGTTGTCTATCCAATACTGTTTTTTAAAAACAACCAAAGAAATCTTATCATAGTGCAGGTATTCCCAGTGAAACTGGTTTACAATAACAGAACAATAATACTAACTACTTTTTGCGTGTTAACTACACGGTGTAAACGCATGAAAAGAACTGAGAAATCAAAGAACCCAAAGGGCCCGCAGACTCGAGTAGCCAGTAGCAGCGCGACAGTCGCCGCGTCGCGGGTCGCGAAATGCTGCTCATGAATATGTATATGAGTATATGATGTATATATGAGCCTCTAGCATGGATTGAAACTAGTCGAGTTCCTCGTCAAATTATTACGTGAGTAAGCCGAAAACATTTTTATTTAGGATGTCTCACGAAAGTTACAATACAAGCATGAAAAGAAATTGTGGTATGAATTGTCGTCGGCGGTATTTCAAATATTCAAGAAAAGAGCGTATTCCTTTTTAAAAGGCCGGCCTCTTGTGTTGTAGGTGTCCATATAGACGGCGCTGATCGCTTACCATCAGGTGATCCCTCTGCTAATTTGCCTTCTATTCCATAAAAAAAAAGTTTTTACAATAGGGATGATGCCCGGGTATGAAAATTAAAAATCTATTTAGTACGTAAGTTAGGTAATGAAAAAATATTAGAAACGTATTTTTTTTATTTTGTCGAACTTAGATAGAACGAATCAAAGTTTAGGAGTGGGGGCTAAAACGTCATTTCTACGTATAAAATGTACATAGAAGTGACGTCACGCGACATTTCAAATCAATATATCGTTGAAAGTTTTCGTTTCCGTAAGAAAATAAAAAATACATGTTTTATTTTACTATCTTTGTATTAAATCTAGAGGTATAGATATAATTATTAAGCAAACTTACATTGTTTTTAAAAATAAATGACAATAAAGACACATGTAAACATTCTCAAAAAATATACAAAAAGGTTTCACACCCGGAAAATGCTTTGCTTGCAATATTATTAAAACATCTGCCCTCAGTTACCCTCTCCTACACAAGAAAATGAACCCTTATAACCCAAAAAGAAACAGATCCCACAGCTGATGCTCCAATAGTATCTAAACAACACAAGGTTCATTCAAGTAAATAAATAAACGAAAGAAATTGTCGAAATCGTTAACGTGAACGAATTTTTAAATATTCATATCGAAACGTATGTTATTTGAACGTACTTTCATATTTCCACATCATTTATTTGCTGAGTCAACCATTTAACGTTTCATGTTCATTGCTCTCATTAGAATTTTCGCCAAGAGGGCTTTTATGTACAAATAATTCATATACATACATCTAGACTTGGAGTAAATATTCCAGTCTAATATTTGTTTCGATTAAGTACGCTGTGTGTTTCCGACCAAAAATCAGTTAGTGAGGATTTTCATTATGTCTATTTAGATATTAAAAAGTTTGAATACAAGCGATAACATTTCATATCATAGCTAAATAGTACCTTAACTGTTGTATCTGTAATATATAATGCTATATTATCACTGAAAACAGCGCTATAGTAACTTGCGTTAAATTATCAAAATACTAAACAACTAAATGTTGATATTTTCCAGTTCTTTTGGCATTACGAAAACTCTCTCTGAAGAAACAGTAAGCATAAATGTTTCATTAAACCACATGGTAAAGTTTGTCACAAGTAACTTGTACAATGGGCCCGATTCGCTCTTTACAACAATGTAAATACTTTTGAGTTACAATAGACGTATTTAAATTTACACAACGTTTAGCCTAAGGACTAGTTAAAACTTAAATGGGTTCGGGAAAATACATAGAAACAATAAGACTGAAGTTGCTGGCTGTAATATACTTCGCTACTATTTATGTGATACATCGTCTCACTAATGGACCACTTGGGGCATAGTTAAGAACAAAAATCCGAAGGGAATACAAATGGTTTGTTTAATATATATTAAAAAATAAATAAAACGTTTGAGTAGCCTCCGTTTACGAACTATTTCATATTGTATTTTGACAGATTGGTTAGCGCGTAGTTCGAAGCGTTAAGTGACCCATTTCCCACAGTCAGACACGGCGTATTGGTATTTAATTTGCTGGTGCAGATTATTCTCATTTATTGAATGTTTGTTGTTTAAGAGAAGATCAGATATTTGTGCATGATAATCTGATATTTCATAAATTATAAATTAGTGTTGCAGGCAATTCTACATACAAGATTTCTCAGTTTAATATAGAAGTGCAATTGGGTAAAGTATTTTCTAAAGTCGTAGTCTGGATTGGTAGCCACAATAAAGGAACACGCTTGCTCCTTAGAATAATAAGAACTGGCAAAAATGATTATGCTACCTACTCTCCTAGCACAGAAAAAAAAAATCATAACGTTTTGCGCATGAAAATAAAAATCTTCAAAGAATATGAAAAAGCTGCTTACATAAATCCGACAAACGAAACAGAGAAGCCAACAAACTCCCAACTATAAATCTAAACATTGTTCTTTAGCAGCCAAAAAAAAGCTCGATTCCACGGAAAGGTCGCAGATTTACGACGAAAACTATGTATTACAGCAACGCACGTCTTTCTTATTTTCCATCAGGAATTTATACCAGCATAAAAAGGTCTGAGAATGCATATAATGCCGAAAATTGGTCTTGCAAACACAAGAACGTTCGGCGCAAATTGCTATCGTAAAAATGTGGTCCAGTGATCTCCAATCTACGTTTATTGGTCATAAATTTAGCCTATTCAATAATGTATCGCTATTGATAATGTTAACAGGCGTTAATGTGTCATAAACAGCTGAGGATTATATACTGTGACGAATTTTTCTTAATCCTTTGCTTAAACTTCATTTTCTTTTATTTTAGATAATACTTAGTTATTAGTAATTTAAGTTATCGATTTATGACTAATATTTGGTTTTCAAGTTAACCACTAAATACTGTAGCTTTATTACATTTATAAATCTTATACTGTTACATAAAGCTGAAGGGTTTGTTTAAGCGAAAGCGAGAGAGCGAGCAGAGCGATCTCTGAAACTACTGATGCGATTTAAAAATATATTTTTATGTTGAATGGTCTATTTACCGAGGAAGGCTAAGAGCCGGGTAGAGAGAGTGAATCCACATGGAAGTAGATCGTACAAAATAATTGTAACATTTTGTTTGATTAAAGGTATACACAAAGGATTAAAGGTACAAACAAGCACCGGCTCTTAAATTCGTCCATTAGTTGTCATAGAAAGCGGTGTTATAGTTTAATCAGAAGTGTGGAATCAAGTGTGGGAGAGCCCATGCTTCAGCACGAATGGGCTGTCTCGACCGGATTCGATGAAACAAAGCTTGCGTTGTGTCGTATGAGGGTATGAGTGAGGCTACCGGAGCCACAATCTCCCCCTTCCCTTTTCCCAATCCCTGAATACCCAACAATCCTCAAATTCCTAATCCCCATAAGGTCGGTAACACACATCTAACGCCTCTGGTGTGTCATATATCCATGGACGACGCCGATTGCTTAGCTTGCCATCAAATGATGCATCTGCTCGTTTCCCGGCTTATTTCATAAAAAAACTGCGTAAAAATAAAAGGTAAACTTAGGGCATAAACTTATCCTTCGAGCTACTAAGTACTCAAAATCCAATAAAACGAATTCTGCAGAAACAATTGAACCAAATTCAATGGTGTTAAGATCTATTTTAATATCATTATTAGTTGTGAGTTCATTTTGAAATAGTTTCCGCTAAATGTTAATAAAGGGTATGGGTCATTTAGCTCCTAATGGAACAATAATCCTAGACACAGCACGAGACTAGACCATTAGTACTTTCACGTTCGTACATAATAGAAGTTTTGCTCAAAGCTTTTACTGAAAACAGAAAATGTATTTATTAGAACACATTGCAGTCCTACCTACCGTTTGTTTTTGAATGAGAAACAATATTAAGTAAAGTATATCATTTTTAGTTTCTTTCATAATTGTTTTTAACAATATTTTGTTAGTTTTCGCTTAACTTTTCCTAGTTTAATTATTATAGTCCACACAATTCAAGAGGTCAACACTCACACGTTTTGTCAGTTATATGTATCGCTATAACTTGTTATAAACGTCCTGGGAAGTTTCACGTACAAAAAGTGAACGAATCGAATTCATATCTAATATTAATTTATTACTTCGTCAGAATTGACCTCTTAGATTGTGACGACTACAATCGTATACGATAAATACACTCAAAGAAATAAGGATCGAGTATTATTTATATTCTCTTATGTGCTTTCATCTTCCTTATATTCAAACACAATTTGAAATTCTTAGAAAACTTTGAAGTTTTTTTTTTATTTCAAGAAATCAATGATTGTTTTTTATTAGCACAAGAAAGAGTATTATGGAACATTAAACTGTCGAACACCAAGCGGTCACCGGTGACCGCAACCTATTGTTCTATAATTGTGTCTACAAAACCGGTACTCGACGAGTTAAAATGTATTTTAGGCCTGGTCAGTCATTGCAACTTTGTTAACTTTTATTAAGTTTAAAACTTCGGCTGAATAGTTTCAAAAACCTATTATGACTTGGCTCTGTCTGTCTGTTAGTATAATGAAAATGAACAACATCACAGACGAACACATTCTACTGCTAATCGAAATACATAAGGTCGTTGACTTCAAGCAAAAATAGTTTTTCAAATATTGATATTCAGTTGCATCTGGCTAGATAGAAATCGGAATGCAATCGAAAATAGAATCACAAGATTGTGAGGTGATATTATGATATTTTCGTTAGAATTTTTTAAAGAAAATATTCGTTAAAAAAGTGGGTTTCTTATTGAAAGCATCATAATTATTACAATTAATTTTGTTTTTTTAGGTACTTAACTCGTTGAGTACTGTCATTATAGACACAATTATAGAATGATAGGTTGCGGTCACCGGTGACCGCTCGGTGTTTGACAGTTTAAGTTATGATTTAAAAGGCTGAATGCCCTAAATAAACACTAAATGCTTCTTGGGTCAAATATCTGCTACAAACTACGTGTGCCGTTATATTATTGAAGCTCATACGTATAGTAATTCAATAGTTACATTAATATAAACGTAAGAACTTTATAACGTAAGAAATTAAAGTTAAAGGCGCCTTGTGATTTATAGATACTTTTTTCGACCAATCTGAGGGCTCCTCTACCTTCTACGCATCGCGCATCAAAATCTTATCTTCCCAAAATCTTCTTTGTTTATTCTTGTATCTCTGAAGCACTCTGAAGCACGACTGCACGGTTGGTGCGGTGGCTGGGCAACTGGCTGCCGTGCAACGTGTCGCGGGTTCGATTCCCGCACGAGACAACACTTTGTGTGATCCACAAATTGTTGTTGCATGCCATGACCTAGTTTTCAATTTAAAATACGTTTAGTACGGTTGACGGTCGTCGAAGGAACGGTCACCCTGGGAGACACCTTGTTGCACGAAAACGCATCGCAGCAATTCGTGTCGTAATTTTCTGCGTTGCAAATTCGCATCGCATCGCATCGCAGTTTTGTGTACGAGCCCTTAACCCTCTTTTTTAACAGTTATTAGCTAAAATTAATAATCACTCTCAATCATCTGTCAATTTAGGTGTTCTCCAGGACCTCAATAGAACTAATGTCTATTATATCTTATTCCTACAGATACGAATGGTTTGAAGACCTTAACCTGCGATGGTATGCACTACCAGCTGTCTCCAACATGCGTTTCGACTGCGGCGGCATTGAGTTCACTGCCAGCGCCTTCAACGGCTGGTACATGAGCACTGAGATAGGGTGCCGAAACTTCTGCGATACTAACCGACTTAATTTGTTGGAGGTAAGTGATACTTGTTTAATCTCTTGTATACGTCTACAAGAGACGTAAAAATACTTCTATTGTGTCTGATTTAGATCTGTTTAATATATCATTTTTATGATATGCCACATCTTATAATTACCCAGTTTGTAGTTTTTATAATTTCTATTAAGAAAGACTGTCTCGTTGGCCGAGTGGTCGCAAGGGCGACTGCGGCAAGGGGTCTCGGGTTCAATTGCCGGGTCGGGCAAAGTATTATTGGGTTTTTTTTTTAATTGTCATTAATAGCACGGAGTCTGGAATTGTGCCTGGTATATGGCAATGCAATAGGCTCACCAACTATAACATGGGACTCATAACATAAATAGTGAAAAGTGGGTGTTTGTGTGTCATTGTACAATGCCACCTCTGCCTACCTCTTCGGAGATTTTTAAAGTCGTGTTTCTTTTTAAGTTTCATCATACGTCTTAATATAAAGTATACACATGTAACATACTCAAGCAAGACTATTAAATAAATCATAAATAAACCTACCTTCGTATATCATTGGAACTAGCATTAAAAAAAATAAAGAAAGTAAGCCTTAGAACATTAATAATGAATTTTTTCATAAGATAACTTTAGGCTACTTCTATTTAGTGAATTCTCAGGGGAGTGAATCGCTATTAGAGCTGAGTGCAGGAAAGCTTTGTGGATTGTTTATTTTTTGTTCAGTTTTTACCGCTTTATACAAAATTATTATTTAATATAACATGGATAGTGCCCATTTTTCTCTGAAAATGTAGAGTAATAAATAACACACGCACGAAGTTAATTTAATACTTTAATGTATAATTTTTAAAGCAATAGGTAAGTTTATAAGGGCCCTATTAAAAATGGGTACAGTTCGGTTTCAGAGGAATTTCCTCCCACGGACCCTCCGATTGTGGAATGAACTCCTCAAGCTCATTCCACAAAAAAGCAAGTTGCAAGCGTTCATAGGCCACGGTAACCACTTACCATCAGTTAGGCCGCTAGCCACCACTTGCCACCGTCGTAGTATAAAAAAATGGTTTCTTACTGTAATAAGTTACAATTCGTTTTGTAATAGAGGTTAGTTTTAGCTTATACTTAGTAAACCTTAAAACGTAATATGATAGGTACTTTATTCAACCCGGATGTTAAGCCAGTGTTGTATTAAATCGACCCGAGATCCTGTTAATCAGTTGGTCATCAACCAATCACGTGGTTGAAGGCATTCATCTTTTACTAATAAAAGATCTATTAGTACCGCTCGGGTTCCCCAGTTCGGACGACAATAGACTAATAAAATCGTCATTACAAGTATTAATAGATAAAAACTTGACTCATAATCGAACTACTGTCATACAATGGCAGCTCAGAAACACGTGGGATTCCCTCCCAACGTCATAGATATTCCATGATCATAAATAATTTCCGTAACAATCGATTTCGTCGAAACGTAGATATCGATCTATAATTAAATTATTAACTGGCTGCCGAAACTGTAACAAGCATTCGTAATGAATCACGCTGTAAAACGATAATTGTACCTGCGTAGGTACACGAGATTTTCCATGTGTTTGTATTAGAACGGCAAACCACAAACATTCGCAGTTGTGTGCGGTCAAAACGTTGTTCTGGTCGGATGATTGACGACTAATTACCGGCCGGCCGATCTCGTAATGTTTAGCTTTAGGAATTCTGTTAGTTCACTCGTTCACTCAAATGTACCATCATAAATGAGCTGATATGACAGTCAGTTACACCATTTGTCATTGCCAGCACATAATTAGGTGTCGGCAATTTCATTAAATTGAAATCGGTTCATTGCATTAATTTGGTTTCGATGACAATTATATAGGTAATTAATTTATCAATTGCCTCAATGATGTGCCATTGTATTGATGATAAATAGCTTTAATGATCGATATCTGGGTTTTAGACAAGAGAGATATTAGACATTTTCAGTAGCATTCCGCAGACACCTAGTTCTAATGTAGGGTGTAAGTAACACAACACCACGCCTTTTATCCCCGAAGGGGTATGCAGAGGAGCATATTACGGTGGTTAATGCTACTGTACAATGTAACACCCACATTTCAACCGACTTCAAAAAGAGGAGGAGGTTCGACTGTATTTTTTTACTATTTATGTTATGAGTCCCATGTTATAGGGGTGAGCCTATTGCCATATACCGGGCACGATTCCAGACTCCATGTTACTACTGAGATGTTTTTAAATACCCAGTAGTACTTTGCCCGACCGCACTTGCGACTATTCGACAAACGAGGCAATCTCTAAATACTCTTCACTAATAAGTTCGTTTGTTATCTATATTTCTTGTACAGAAAGTAGCTCACAAAATGGGTTTGGACACTCGGACTCCAATCAATCTATGGAAGGATAAGGCTCTGGTGGAATGCAACGTCGCAGTTCTCCATAGTTTTCAACAGCATAACGCTACCATCGTTGATCATCACACTGCCTCCGAGAGTTTTATCAAGCATCTGGATAATGAAAACCGATTAAGGTAAGCTGACTTTCAATGTATATAAGCTGTTATAAATAAAAGGGGTAAGGACTAAGGAAAAAGAAGAGGAGGTCAAACTTTCAAACGATAGCCACAGTATTTTTATAGCCCCCAAAGTCCTAACTTCGGTTCGGTGAATTTGATTTCATTGATTCAGAGAATCGAACCGTATTAAAATAAAAAGAGTGAGTTGTACCGGACCTGCAAATGGGGATGTTTATTTCAAATCGCATTTATGGTAACTCTAATAAATAGGTGTATACATTTTAGTTATTACGTTTTAAAAATAAATGTATCAGTTTCAAAATACAGTTACATTATTTTAGTAACAATTATTATCTGTATATAAATGAAAGAGAATAGCTGTCCGTTAGTCTCGCTAAAACTCGAGAGCGGCTGAACGGCGATCGGGCTTTTCGGTCTTAAAATGTTGATAGAAGTTGAGTCGATATGAAGTTTGCAGACTCAGCTAGTTTATAAATATTTGGTTTTGTTCAAAAACACCACTACTAAATTATTTTCTCATTAATCAATACAATTAAATGTATTATCCGCAGTACAGTTGGTGACAACAATTTTAATATCACCCAACAGTAATTTTAAGATTAAATTTAAATTGAGGTCATATTAGGAAGTAATTTCAATTCATAATTATTGTAATATAATACATCCCATTAATACAGTTTCACCTATTCATGTGATACGTGGATATTAACTCTTATGTGGTCCTCCTGTGCCTATAGACTGCCTAAAATGAAAATAGATAATCAAATTGCGCTTATTTTGAATAGAGTTACTATAGAACTCATTTTCAATAAAATTACTGGTCAAATTTAAAATTGAACTGATGAGCATCATTAAATGAGTAATATAGTCATTAATTTACATTCACGATTTGTGTATTTACTATGACGCGATGTATGATTATTTTTTAAAATTATTTAGAGTCCAAAATAAAAATAAATAAGTTAGTTAATACCCAATTCTATCTTAATAATAAACCAACTAATACTGACGCAATTCATGAATGACGCTAACAAAAACGATCGTACGCCAGAATCTATTAACGTTTCGACAATGTCGCGTCCACTTGTAGTAAACAGATTGCGGATGAGAAAACTAGTCTTAATTGCATACAGACCCGGTAGGTCATTAAGCTGTCGACACTAGCGCCTTGCAGATGTACTGAGCAGCTTACATGTGGTTAGAAGGACGTGTAAACACCATTGTTTTGAACTATCGTGTGATTGTTTAGGTTTGTAGCTTCACTTTACTCCGCGACTGTACAGTGACGTCACCCAGGCATTTATCTGTGTCTAAAATGTAATATCATCCTCCTTGAAACTGCTACGGTTTTTGCGCTAGACCGTTCGGATATCGATAAATGGACTAAGTTTTTATATCTCTCTGTTAAAATCAGGTTAGTGAACGACTTAAATCATTAATTCGTAATGACTAAGCTTGTTGTCTACCAGAATTTAGAGGTGACTCAAAAACTAATGTTGCAAAAAGATGCCTTAAAGATCTCTGTTGTTACTCGAACCATTTTTTCAAATTCGAAGAATATGGAGTATTGATGTTATAACACATAACATCACGCCTTTTATCCCTGAAGGGGTAGGCAGAGGTGTACCAAACAACAATCTGTGGATCACACAAAGAGTTGTTACGTGCGGGAATCAAACCCGCGACACATTGACACGTTGCACGGCAGCTGGTTACCCAGTCACCGTGCACACCGTGTAATATTAGTTCGTTAGGAAGAATAAAATGTTTCTTTCATTTATATCATATTCTCTTTTGGATAACGTTTAGCTGATACTAATACATGTAACAAGATAGAAGCTCCATAAGGAAAAAAATGATAGGAACGCCCAAAAACTAAGCCAATACTAAAGCAATACCTAAACTAAAAATAACTCAGTGAGTAGTTAATAACATAACATAACATCGCGCCTTTTTATCCCTGAAGGGGTAGGCAGAGGTGGACATTTTAACATACACAATGTAACACCCACTTTTCACTATTTATGTTATAAGTCCCACGTAATAGGGGGCGAGCCTACACCCATACACCGGGCACAATTCCAGACTCTATGCTATACTACTGCGATTTTTCTAAAAACCTAGTATCTACTTAATACATTGCCCGACCCGGGAATCGAATCCGAGACCCCTTGCCGCCGGGCACATTTACATGCACAGTCCCACTTACGACCACTCTGCCAACGAGACAGTCTGAGTTAAGTTATGTAGGCAGTTTTGATGTTATCTACGTAATAAATAAAGCAGGGAATTTCAATTTAGCACCAATTTGCTCACGATTTCATGTAAGTAATATGCATACTTTGAAATAATACAATGTATGGTCTTCGTCTCTGTAAAGACATGTGCACAATAAATCTCATATAATTTAATAGAGCAATAAATGCATTCTCGGTTCTACATGCTCACAAACATTTTACTGCAGTTCAAGTTTCATTATGATTGAATAGTTACACAATCGTTTTAATAAGCAACCACCACTGGAGGTAGTAATTTTATAATTATTGACATAATATAAAGAAAGGAAAAAATAATTATGTACAACTTAAGATACACTAAAAATAATAGAGATAATTAAATAAAAGAAAACTAAAAATGTTTAATTTATAGAGAGCATCAAAAAATTCGTTCGCATCGACGTCAATAGGGAAAGTACCCAGAAGGCTGGTAGCATTGCCACGTTGCATGGATTCCCATAAGCATTGGCTTAACCTCTGACCGAAAAACAGACCAACCTTAGCATATTTTCTTATTACATAAAACTGTTTAATTTGTAAATGAAACTTAGATAATAATATAGAACAATATTACTGTTTAAGCATTCTGTTTCACCTTTTCACAAGCCCATATGTAGGTACAGTGTGTTACAAAAACGAAATGTCGTAAATTGCCGAAATAATTTCGTGGGCTAATCGAGTTTAATTCAATTTGGGCCTCCTCCGGCTCATGATTACGTTAAACAGTTTAGGTGACAATTTTGAGGGTCGTCTGCGGTGCATCGAAATTATTTACATCACGCTGTTTTTCATTCTGCCGTGAAATTAAGGACGTTTTTGGGAATAAAATGAATAAGTAGATGATGTGAGATATGTTTATGTACTATTTTAAATAAATATGAAATAGTACAAAACCCTCTGAAATAATAATTATAAGATTTTAACAGAATACAAATATACTAACTAACTTTAGTGAAAAATAATGTTAATCCTAAGATAATAAACTAGTTCACGGCGCAGTTTTATCACGACCCAGTACATAGTTCAAATTACTATGTTGAACATAATTTCATTTAAAATCAATGTTTTATTAACAACCCATAGATTACAAGTTAATGAAGCAAATTCCAAATGACGTGTGGGAGTTATACTAGTAGGTATAATTGTTGTTTAATCTGAACAAAATCACCAACAACTTGGTATATTTCTGTTATGTTAATACTAATGGATTATGCCAGATAGACAAATGATAACTGGATTAGTAATGAATTATTTATTATTAAAATATTATAAAATAATATACAGATATTAATAGATAGAATACTTGGAGCGTGATCGACTATCCATACCAAAGCAAAAAATATGGTTTTTAGAATTGTTGTAAAATATAAACAAGACAATAATAAATTAGTCTAAATAAAATAAATTTTATTTAAACTAAAGTTTCGATGAAAATGAGTAAGATAATATTATGTTCTTCGCAAAAAAATATCGTAAGACTAATAATGTAAAGTTTTACGAAGCAACAACAAATAAAACAACATTTTAAACAACACGTTTTCTTACAATCTCAAGTCGAGTTGGAATATTTTTTTGTTTTTTTTTAAAAACGTAGCCCAATACTATATAGGTTTTTCTCCTGTGTCGTGGGTGCGTCTACAAACATACCTGTTCATATGAACAACACACACATCACACCCAGACCCGGAACAACAATCTATGGAACAACACAAAGAATTGCTCTGTGTGGGAATCGGACCCCCGACATGTTTCACGGCAGCCAGTTGCCAAATCACCAACCGTGCAGTCAAATCGTTTGACTTAATGGTTTGACGGTACATTACTTTCTTAAAATTAAGTTCAAATACTAGTACAGTAAAGACCTCGACTGTGCAATGGACAAGTCCTATTCCAATGTGTTCAAGGAAATCGCGATTAGTTTAGCTCATTCAACTAAAGATGATTTCGACTTGCGGTCATTAACATCCTGTTGTCAATAAACACAATTAAACAGAACTAAATAGTACAATTAATGGTTACGGATATCAACAGGTCCGGTTGCCCATCTGATTGGATTTGGGTCGTCCCTCCAATGTCCGCATCCATCACTCCTGTGTTCCACCAAGAGATGGCGCTGTACTACTTAAAACCGTCTTATGAATATCAGGTCAGTGTTCTAAGTAACATACCTACTTTTAATTAATTGATTGAACGATTTGAATCGAATTAATTGATTGAATGATTTGATAAAAATGTTTCCTTACAACCAGGAACCCGCATGGAAGACTCACCAATGGCAGAAATCCAAACCCACAACAGACAAGAAAGTAATCAACAGGAAATTCCATTTCAAGCAAATAGCTCGTGCTGTCAAGTTTACTTCCAAACTATTTGGCCGGGCTTTGTCAAAGCGAATTAAAGCTACAGTCCTTTATGCAACTGAGACAGGGAAATCTGAGCAGTTTGCCAAGGAATTAGGAGTCATTTTTGGGCATGCATTTAACGCTCAAGTACGTACTAATGTTTAGATAAACATGTTACTAATTGTTCAATCAATAGGGATCATTTCAGTATGTATATATTTGAAATGTTTTAGGTTCATTGCATGGCTGATTATGACATAACATCAATTGAGCATGAAGCCTTGCTCTTGGTCGTTACATCAACGTTTGGTAATGGTGATCCTCCTGAAAATGGCATTGTAAGTATAGCATATAAAAAAATCTTATAAATAAAAGATAATGTGAACATGATAACAATATTTTACTTCTTTAGGCTTTTGGAGAGCATCTATGCGAGCTATTGTATGCTGATGAAGAAGGATCAGGGTAAGAATATCATATCAATTAGAGAATAAATCAACGTATAGCAATAATTACAGATTGAAATGTTGATGCTAATGTTATTTTATAGGAATCAAATGCCAACCACGAAATCACTAATAATGGCTAACAGCCAGGAGCTGCAGAGATGGTCTGGTAATCCGAAGAAATTGAACCGTTTAGAGTCACTGAAAGGTAACAAAATACAACCTAGAAATAACTAACATAACTTAAGAACCAAGATAAAAGTAATGTAGTGTCAACTAATTACTTATTTGTATTTTAGGCAGTACTACAGATGCCACATCCATCGACAGTTTCGGTCCTCTGAGCAATGTCCGTTTTGCTGTATTTGCTCTAGGTTCGAGTGCATATCCGAATTTCTGTAATTTCGGTAAATACGTGGATAAGTTGCTAGGTGACCTCGGTGGGGAACGAATCCATGACCTTGAGACCGGCGACGAGATGTGCGGACAAGATCAGGCCTTCCGGAAGTGGGCCTCTAACGTCTTCAACGTAAGTTGGAAATTACTCGTGACGAATTTGAACTGCGACTAATGTCTCTTGGCTACTCAATGATAATATTAGTAGGAGTTAGTTTTTGTGCACTGATATCATCGTCTTAATGGAGGAATGTAGGTAATGGGTATTAGACACATAATTCTTTATTCGTCGTTAGAATTTTCAAAAAATTTTGTCTAATGACTTTTGAAAACTATTCTAGTCTGAATTACATAATGTATTCCTTAAAAATAATAAAAATGTTTATTTGATTATTTTCCTGAGCTTCCTGTGACACAAATTAACACCTCGCCATTGGCCTTGCCATTTCTATCAACGAAACTAAATGTAGAGAAATGACTTTATGCAATTAAATGTATATTAATGACTAAACATAATGTTAATACAATTGTTGCTGCTAATACATACATATAATTGCAGGTTTCTTGCGAAACATTCTGTTTGGATGATGACGAAACGATGCAAGAAGCAAAGAGAGCTCTGGGTACTGTTGCTCTCAGCGAAGAAACTGTTCGTTTTGCTGCTCCAGAAGGACCTCTACCAACTTTGCAGGTGGCTTTACAGTCATCATTGAACAAAAAGATCGTACAATGTATCGTCAAAGATAACAAAGACTTGGGTGATGGGTCTACGGAAAGATCAACCATCTTCATTAACATGGAACCAAAGGTAAAATATATTAAAATTATCTAGTTAGGTATAGAATAACAAATAACAACAATGGTATTAAAATAAATGTTTCATTACAGGAAGAGATAAAATATGATCCAGGCGATCATGTTGGTATTATAGCGTGCAATCGTAAGGAACTTGTTGATAGCATACTGGTTAGACTGAAGGATGTTGACGATTATGACAAACCTATGCAACTACAACTTATGAAGGAAACACACACATCAAGTGGTAAGAAGATTAATTTTTAATAATTAATTGAAATATAAGCCTATGTGGTTAAAGAACAAATTCTTTGTAGATTATTACAGGTTCAATCGATTGCTAAATTGCCTTATAAATATTATTTTGCCTTATAAATATAAATATTATAAATTTTATGGTATACATTTGACACAGGTCCTATTAAATCTTGGGAGCCACATGAGAAACTCCCAGTGATGAGTGTCCGAGATCTATTCACTCGTTTCTTGGACATCACTACACCGCCAACTACCATTTTACTACAATACTTAGCCAAAACGTGTGAAGATGAAGCAGAGCGTAATCAACTTAATGCTCTTGCTACGGTAAGCATTATACCTTTAAAACTACATGAATGGAAATCTATCATAATACATTTTTCGAGCTGAAATATCATTTAATAATTGCTTTAGGAACCGGGAGCCTACGAAGATTGGCGTCATTTCTATTTCCCTACTGTATCTGAGGTACTAGAGCAATTTAAATCAGCTCGACCAAGTGCATCTTTGCTCGCTGCACTACTCTCACCTCTGCAACCAAGATTCTACTCTATTTCGTCATCTCCAACTGCTCATCCAAAACGCCTTCACCTGACGGTCGCCGTAGTTCAATACCGAACTCAAGGTTAGTACTATGACTAAAAACATAATTTTAACCTTTATTGTAAACATTGTAATGCATTAATGTCTCATAGTTTAATGCTGTTGATTCCCACATACACTGACATCGGTAATTCCATTGAAATGTAGTTTACAAAATGATCTAATTTTAAGTTAAACGACGTCCGCTCCAAACAATCTGATAGATGAGTCGGCTATAGTAGCTGCATGAAAAGGTTAATCAGTGCTATATTTATGATTTTCTATTTATGATGCGGTTAGTTGTAGTAAAACAATGATGTCATATTCAAACAGATGGCGAAGGACCTCTCCATTATGGCGTTTGCTCAAATTATCTCATGGATCGTAAGCCTGGCGACGAAGTTTATCTATTTGTTAGAAGGTATCTATACTATATTTTTTTTAATATCCAGGCAATCTTTTGTCCACAATTTCTTTATTTAAACTTTTGTTTTTATCTTTTAGTGCTCCGAACTTCCATCTTCCTCAAGATTTATCGGTACCTCTGATACTAATAGGCCCAGGAACTGGTATTGCGCCATTCCGTGGATTCTGGCATCATCGCCGAGCTCAAATCAACAACCGTAAACGTGCACCTACTGGCCCAGTTTGGCTTTTCTTTGGCTGCCGAACAAAGAGTATGGACTTATACCGTGAGGAGAAACAACAGGCCTTGAATGATAACGTTCTGTCTAAAGTTTTTCTGGCGTTATCTAGGGAAAAGGATATTCCCAAAGTAAGTTGAATTTACATCACATTTATAATATTATACTAAGATTGCAACCGTATAGAAAAAGAGTTCTAATGTTAACTTTTTTTAGAGGTACGTTCAAGAATTAGCTGAACAAGAAGGAACCGAGATTAATGATCTGTTAGTGAATCGAGGAGCTCACTTCTACGTTTGTGGAGATTGTAAAATGGCTGAAGATGTTCACCAGAAGCTTAAAGGAATAATTAAGAAACATAGCGAAATGACGGATGAACAAGTGCAAAGCTTCATGTATATGCTAAAGGTTTGTTAAGATTTTTATAGTTTTTATACCTGGGCTTGTATTAGTCAATACTCTTAGCTGAAATATAGGTTGAAAAATACTTTTATGACATAGTTTTGCTGATGTCGAAATACCATCTGGAAGAAGACCCTTTTTGTTACTTCGTTATTAAATTTGTATTACTTTGTCAGTATCTGCAGTTACTAATTTGTTTCTAAGTATAATTTTCTCACTTACTTACTTATTGTATTAGGTATGTCAAGTTTATTTTTCTTTTGTTAGGAGGAGAATCGCTACCACGAAGATATCTTCGGCATCACGCTGCGTACCGCGGAAGTTCACTCGGCCTCCCGGGAGTCAGCTCGCAGGAACCGCGTGGCTGCGCAGCCATGACGCCGGTCCTCACGCTTTCATCCTAGCTCGCACACCTAGCCTAACTAGCTTTGCAACTTCATCTGCTACGTCTAACTTAATTACTTCATTCAAGTAATCGAGTGCTTTATTGGTTTTAATGTCATCAACGATCTCAAATTTATCAGCTTCTAAATTTGCGAAAATTTTAGCAGCGTCAATTTATATTGCTGATATTTCTGGTTAATATAAGTCAATTACTCTACTTTGGCTTTGGTCAAGCACGAGTTTATTTAGGCCACCGGCCGATACATAGGTTGTGCGTGAAAATGGGTCTTGAATTTATTGTACATAGTCTTCACTGGTTCCATATACATTCCATTTCAGTATTAATTTTCGATGCTAATGTTCAGTGGCAGCTGAAATGTTTATATTTATAGAGTTGTTTTAAATTGATTCCATGCAGGGTGATTTAATCTATATTTAATAACGCACAAAATGCATTCCCATCTCATATATCTCCTACTTTCACTACTTCTTATTGCACTCTTATTAATCCTTGATTTGTGTCGATCGACTTCGAAACATTTCAAACTATTAACAATTTACCAATTACATAGTATTAGATGTAATTTTATTCCATTTAATATTAATAATATAAAAAATATATAACGACTTTCATTGACGTCATAAAATGAAGTATTGTCCACTTATTGCTAACGAAGTTTTGAAATATATTTTGTTGGTAGATTATCGTATGAAAATTTTAACTAGTCTAGTTAGTTGTTAAATATATTTTCAAAATTATGTTTTCGTTGACTAATCTCTAAAACGACAGCAGTTCTTGTTGTATGCCTTTATTGCCAAACTTTGTACAGAACGTGTTACAGTTATTTTATGCTATCAATGTAAATATATTTATTTTAATTTCTATTATAATCGTGAATGTTATTATATTTGATTATTTTAATCTAAAAGTTTTTTTTTACGAAAAGTTTAGCATTTTTTACGAAATTATAATTATGTAGTTGTATATGTTATATTTTATTGTATTAACTATAAGTTTTATCAACAAACGACCATGTTAAACGCATTATCTAAGTATATAAAAATATAATACTAAATATGAGCAGCTATAATAATAATGTTTATTCAAATGTATTTTATTCATATTTATGTCCTTGATATTTGACTAATAGATGTGAGTGTTGACTTTGTGATCCTTAAACTAGTTTTTAAGAAATGTATTCATATTTTCTATTATTCGTATTATGAGAATTTAATATACAAATAAAAAAATCTTTTCTGATGTTACCTAATATTTCTATATTAAAATAGCATTAACTGTCTTTGCCGGATATTCGGTTGTCATATCTTCTAAATTTATTGAAAGCACATTTATAACTAAATGTTGTTTCTATAAAATTCATATCACGCAAAGTATTATCATAATGCACTATTTCATCTACTAATGAAAACTGTTTGGAAATGTCTAAAGATGAAAATTATAAGATTACGAAAATATTTGTCTGTTATTGGCCAAATAAAGTTCCTTCGTTTCGGATTTTTGGACTTTTCTTTTACCTGAGAACCACCCTTCCTATACACTGTCTCTATCATAAAAAACTAGACGTCTGCGTTATTTAACGTAATCGGTTTCAATAACTGGTTACGAGGCTGATAATCGAGTAACTAGTTTCATGAATACAAATATAAACGATTATTTTACATTATTTTATAGGATTTTTAGCAGGTCCGTAATAAGTGCATCGGACTGTTGACGAAAGTTTAGTTACGTGATTACTGCGAGAAGTGCCATCCGGTATAGTAAATGTTTCCCTAATTATAACAAAATACAATCAATTCTAAGTTCATACGCAAAACTAAATAATGCACCGCAACTGTGTACCTCTCCGTAGAAGAGTAACTATTTACAAAAATACACAGATTTGAAACTAGTTAAGAGAACTAGTTAGAAATTAGTTACGAGTAACTAGTTACAAAAATACACAGTTTTGAAACTCTTTATTCATATCCACGAAACTACGTATAACCGATTACGCTCAAAAGACGTTACGAACCATGTGTATTAAAAATATATTTCAACGATATTTTAAAGGTACTCCACTGATGATGACTTATAATGAAGTTTTAACTGAATTGAAATCCTGTGGACAGCCGTAGTGTTACTCACTTCGTCACTAACACTTCTGAGAAAAACAAATACGATTTTGTCCACTGTCACAGTAATGTAAAACCATATGTGAAGCATCTTCTCATATCAGATTGAATCAATAAAACGAGTTCAAAGCTGTAATGTATTGTTCTAATTTCAATAATCCAAAATCCATTAATATTTTGATGATACAGAAATCTAATTGACAACGTCGGAAGAAAAATTTTACAAGCATTTTCTTTGCAAGCAAGCGATTTTTAATATTGCAAATTAATTCATAGGTACTTAGGTACGTACCGAACTGTTTTAGTGCAAACTTCGTAGGATGTGCAATTGGAATGCTTGCAGTTTCTAAAAAGGCACTTAAGAACCGGTCAGGTCATCAACATTTTACTATCAGTACTAAAGATCTTAGATATTACTTGAGAACACAGATTTCTAGTACTTATCTATTTGTAAGTAGGTATATGTACTTATGTAGTACTAAACGCGTCTTAGACATGTTTTATCAACATTCAAGTTTGTTTTTAATATTTGAAACTGCTTAGGTAAAGGAAAGCCACAATGTTGTTAAATACAGATGACTTATAACTAGACTAACAAGTTCTATATGTTTACTAATATTTCTAAGAAGTTTCTCAATAAAAATGAATCAGCCATAAAAACACTTTAGTAAAGTTTGGTATTAATTAATACGATAATATTTTTTATGTATTGAAATACCACAATTAAGTAATTAAGTATCTATTGTCCTTTTGAAATACGGAGCTGCGGAGAACTTAACGGGTTACCGGGGCTCCGGCTCGACGTGCAGGAGTGAACGAGGTGGTTTTTAATCAGTAAGAGTCTGACACTCCCTCCCGTAAAATTATTGAATGACTTCTCCCGCCTGGGTGAGCCCAGGCGGGAGAAGTCATTCAATAATTTTCCCCCCTTAAAAAAATATTCTTTTGAAACCATATTCTATAAAGTATACAACACTATTAATTAAATGTGAAATAATAATAACATATTTTTGACAACTATGATAAACAACATCACGTACACTACTAATGAAAGAAAAGTATGGTCCTAGTATGGCAATTGGCTTATTCCTATTACATAGGCCTAATAACATTACTGGAGAACAGTGGATGTTGCATTTTTTTATGAGGTAAGCCGGTAAACGACCCAACGGATCAACTGATGGTAAGCAATCGGTGCGCCATAGACACTCTGAACACCATATGCGTTACAAGTGCGTTACCGGCCTTTTGGGGATTAGGAATATGAGGATTGTTAGGGATTCAAAGATTGGGGAGATTGGGGTGGGAGGGGCGGTAATTGGACCTCTGGTAACCCCACTTGTCAGTAAAACATAACGCAAAATAATTAAATCGTGTATATAGATTTTTTATACCAGTTAATGTATTAGATGTATGGTCTTTCCTCGTCTCTTTTATTGCAGTTTCTTAAATATCTACATACGAATAACACTATGATTCACGTTTCAGAACTAAACAATATACAGGTAGGTACATATAATGCAGGTAATTTTGTCTTCGTATGGCGTCGATCGTTTCTATTATAATTAAGTTACCTAATACATTGCTTCTAAGTAATTTCGATTTATTCAAAGAATTAAGTGATGGAGATCTGATTTTCCTTGTTGGTGTGCTAGAATTGTCTTTTACTTTTTTAAAACTTAAAATATTAATAATATGAGGTCTTTTATACCTCAAACAGGAATATAAAAAAATAACATAATACTTACAAATTAACCTCTTGATTGCCGGTATATACGACACAATAGAAAACACATTGTCTCGCATAGATCTGCATTACCATAATGCTTTCGCATGAGAAATGAAATATGTTTGTGTAGAAATGAAATGAAATGTAGTTTTTTGGAGTTAAATATTTAGACACGTAAATAGAGGTTAAACAGAGGCTAGTCACAAAGTCTGTTATCAGCGCGAGCAAAGCCGCGGATATCAGCTATAATCAAAAACAATTGGATAGTAATATTAGACAGAATAAAAATTGGAAATACATAACATAACATACGCCTTTTTATCCCCGAAGGGGTAGGCAGAGGCGCACATAACGGCACTTAATGCCACTATACAATGCAACACCCACTTTTCACTATTTATGTTATGAGTCTCGTGTAATAGGGGGTGAGCCTATTGCCATATACCGGGCACATTTCTAGACTCCGTGCTACTATTAAGATTTAAAAAACCCAGTAATACTTTGCCCGACCCAGGAATTGAACTCGAGACTTGCGACCACTCGGCCAACGAGGCAGACTAGCGTAAATTATTATTATGAATCCGGTTTGTTCATTTTTTACGTGAGACTTTCCAGGACGTTCTCAACAAGTTACAGCGACTAACAAACGTGTGAGTGTTGACTTTTTGAATTGTGTGGACTATAAATAATGAAAGAAAATTGGAAATCAATGTGAATTTAAGCTCATCGAGTCAAGGGATTAATATTATAAGTCAAATATTACCTAAAAACTAAGTCCGTTACAAAATACACCCACCTGATATTCGTACAGCATTAATTGTTACATTTATGTATTAGTCTGAATCAACATCACTAATTAGTAAGTAGTGGCCCCCGTCACTATAATGTGTTATATAAGGTAAGACACTCGGCATTAACGCTGCTGTCTACCCTTCATACTCTAGTGTGTGTACACGTCGTGCGCCCTGCACAATATTGTAATAAATCCAAGTAAGATAAATCCAACGATAATTTGACAATCCACCAAAATAACATTAATAACAATGTTGAAATATCGATAAGGAAAATTTTAAAACAACTTCTTAGAAACGCTATTATCACTGTCCATTGGATTGGCTGCAGATGATCACTGAACTGACACAAAGCGTAATAGGATAGCCTGTTATGGACAGGGCTTTTAGGCACCCTACATAGGATACCTATGTACAGTAATAGCATATCAGTAGAGCTAGAATGATCAAAGCCTGTTATATTGAATCCGTTTGATTTAACTGGCTATTGATTCTACGTCTTCGAATTTGACAGCACTGATACATGGATAATAAATAGTCTATGGTCTATGATGATAAATTATGTAGTGATTTATGTCAAAGTCAATGTGTCAAAGTATTTATTTCAAATAATTTTATTTGGTACTTTTAAAACGTCAACAAATACAATAATATATGTAAATACTATTCTGTCAGTCAGTCCGTCAGTGAAGCTAGGTGGAACTAGGTGCTCATTCCAAAATGTAGATTCGAATGGAGAAGAACAAGCAAGAAACTCCATTCGTTAATCTTTGATAAAAAAGTATGTTCTACAATGTCTCTGATACATATTCCAATACTGTGCCTATGTATATGTGAGAATAATGCAAAGGCACGCTTGACTAAGAAAAAGCTGCGAATGGATGAATGGAATGAATCCTTGCATTTGTTGTCCTAGATGGTTATCTTTCAAAAACTTTTCTTTCTACATTTTTTTTTACAGTTAAGTGTAGATAATTCACTGTTATAAGTCTCGGGTTATTACAAGGTAGGTAAAGGATTTTTGAATTCTTTAATAAATCTCAGTAGTAACACGATGTCAGACATGATATCAGGTATAATAGACTCACTCCTTGTGGCCCCCCATAACATAAGTGGTAAAAAGATAACTCTTCGAGGAACAAAATGCGTAAAATCTTTATGTACCTACTTCATTTTTATAAGCACTTAATAATTATACAGTGTGAAATATACAAAAAGAAAATAAATAACTTAACTT